TCTAAAAACGAACATCATTTTTTTTTTCTCTTATTGTTTTTCGTACTCCTCAATGAATGAACCCAGTCTTAAAGCAAAAAGGAAAAGCGTATCCATACAGTAGAAGGGTCGAGGGTGGTTGGTGAGAGCGGACGAAACGATGGTTGCTGGCGGGCGCCGCAGTAGAGGGAGGAAGCAGTTCTTTTGTTTGTTTCTTTGAATTACCTCTGTGGTTACCCCCCTATGGAATGTGGCTTTCATCACCTGGAGAGTCACACACACACACACAAAAATGAAGTGAGGTCAAATGAGATGAGCATAAATCTTTCAAAATTTGCACCGGTTGAAATAAGACTCCCACAAATCCCAGAAGGCTTGCCTTGGTTCAGACAAGACGACAGTAAATCGTTGTAAAAGTTGCGCCAATTAAAATTTGTCGACCATAAATGGCATAAAATTTACCCTGAATCAAATTAAGATGACCTTAAATCGAAAATTGTGGTAGTGCAAATAACAGGATAGATAAATAGCAGAAAGGTTGTGCCCATTAAATTAGATGACTGTAAATCCTTCTGAAATTCCACAAATTCAAATGTGACGATCATACTGATTTAATTAAGACAACCATAAATCTTCCGAAAGCTCCGCTGGTCAAAGCAAGAGTATTGCAAAAAAAAAAAGAAAAAGTTGGGCTTGTTCAAATACTATCATTTTTTTGTGTGTGTGTGTGTGTGTGTGTAAAAAGGTCCTTTAAAATCAACCCAAAAAACTCACGAATAATATTCATTGCTAAAAATTTAAAGGAAGTTATGTTTTTTTTAAGCATTTTAGTTTTTTCTTTCATTCCATTCACTAAAATTTTCCATTTAATTAGTTTTCGTTTACTCGAATGTAGCCCCAAAAGTGAGAAAATGCCAATAATGTAGAAAAATGTCTTACCGGCTGAAATAGTTCTACGGTTCATCACACAGTTTCAATCATGTTCAACTTGTTTCTGGAAGCCAAAGAAGAAGAAGAAAAAAAAAACACGGGCGTCAGATAGCAAGGGAAAAAAAGAAGTCGGGATCTGCCTATTCTTGACAAACGAGAAAGAAAACGTTTACGTTTCTGTAATTTGGGACTCTAGCGGAGGTGCGCGCCCTTCTGTTCCCGTGAAGAGAACGCCTTCTCCGGGACTCAGCGGAAGATCTCGGCTGTTCCGTCGTGATCTGAGCTGCTTGGGGGGAGGGTAGGGAAATCATTTTTTTATACTTCCACCACACCTTCGGCAGAACTTCTACAAGCAGCTTGAAAGGCCGACACGCTGCTGCAGTAAATTCCAGGCAAAGATGAAAGCAACCGTAGGTGGCTAACTTACAGAAAAAAAAAAAAAAGCATGACTCACCTTCCATACGAGCAGCAGGATGAGAGCCAGGAAGGGAATGAAGAGTAAAGACAGAAGACTTCGCTCCACAACCTTCGGAAGCAGACGCGCTTCTTGCTCTGCACGTCGACAACATCGACGACGTCAACAAAAATCAGCGTTATCGTCGACGGCAAAATGGGCATTTGCGGCAAAATGGGCAACGACAAAAGGCAAACACGAAAGAGCGACAAGATGAAAAAGCATCAACATCATCAACAACTACGGAAATATTCAATATTCAATCACAACAAGAAAAGCACTCGTCATGATATGAAAAAGTTGCGACGATGTAATTAATACAATAAAATCCCGCCCCCTTCCAAAAAAACCCTAAGCCGAGTTCAAAACCCTAATAAAAAATGCATTTAAAACCCGACCCCAAGTTTGAAACCCTAGTGTGTTTTTAAAGAGGTATATTTTCATGTAATATTATAATTATTATTGTTATTATATGTAAAACTGCCATGACCCTTAATTTCCCCTCACGGGAATCTTAAAAATGTGCATTGAAACCCAAAACCTGTCCCAAAAAGCTAATTTTAAAACCCAACTCACTTTTAAAACCTTAACCCAGCCTTAAAACACTCAACCCCTATTAACCCTGGCTTCAAATCTTCAGTTGAAACCCTAATTTGGAACCCCAACTCCAGTTTTGTTACCCTGCTTGAAAACACAAACCCGGATTGAAAGCCCTATTTTTCACTTAAAACCCAACCTCTGCTTTTAAATCCTCCTCTGAGCCCCTAACCCTGGCTTGAAGCCCTTCCTCTTGATGAACAACCAAACCCAGGATTGAAACCCATATTATGAAAACCTTAACCTTTATTTGAAAGCACATTTTGAAACCCTAATATTGGCTCGAAACACGACGTTGAAAAGCAAATCTGGCTCGAAAGAAACCCTCATTTGAAAGGCTTAAAACCAGAACCAATGCTTGAAACCCAAAGTTGGAACTCTAACAAGGAACCCTAACGCACGCTTGAAACACTCCTTTTAAAACTAAAAACAAGCTTGAATCGAATTTGAAAGACCGAACGAAAACCCTAACCGAGGATTGAAATCTAACTTTGAAACCCCGATTCTCACTCAAATCCCGAATTTTAACCCTGGTAAAACTATTTTAGCAAAAAGTGGTCTCACCACTAAGTGCAAATGCTTTTTAATTCCAGGTAAAAACTAAGCTCCATGCTTACGATTAAAGTCTTTCAAAGGATCTGTAAAATCATAATTTTTCCACAATCTTGTTCTTGCACTTTTTTTTTTCTTTTTTTTTTTTTGGACGTAATTTTAGTAAGCTATTTATTTGATCACTTGTCTTTTAAACGTTTTAAATTCCTGCCTTTGTAGATGGTTTTAAATGCATTTTAAATTCTGTGAAGCACATTGAGTTACCTTGTGTATGAAATGTGCCATATCAATAAAGCCGCTAGGCCGTGCCGAACAGGTAGTCATTAGTTTATAGATATTTTCATGGGATGAAGAAATCCTCCCCCGCAATGTTTTGATTTTTCTTTATTTCAAAATGTCCAAAACCGCTATTTATTTCTGTTTGAACTCACAAATCCCGCAACGTGATATTACAAACATTTTGCATGTGAAACGTTTCCATCACAGCTCCCCGGAGGTTTAAAACAGTTCCTGTGAGGTTGTGAGAAGCGACGGGGCGTTCTAGTCCACTGATGACTTTTTATACAAGTCTAGTTAATTCCATTCAATCGATCTCAAGTCATCTGAAGAGTTCAAAGGTTTAAAAACGGAGCAGGCGGCAGCGAAGACGCAAGGTTTCGGGACAAACAGCCCGTCTCGGAGGAGGAGTTTCAAGGCAAAGCGACGGCACCAAATGTTCTGTCAAAATCTTTCACACACACACCAGCTGGACTGGTTTCGCAGCTCGGCGCGAACACATCACACACACACACACACACACACTCACACACTTGAGAGAATCAAACATGCAGGCTTGACGTGGGAAGAACACAAGACAATGAGAGCACGTACCTGTTTGGCAGTCTGTGGATGCGGCACACTCTGAGATTTTACTGCTGGACGACGGCAAGCCTAAAACAAGCACAGAGGACAGACACGTTTCTTAGAGTGACAGTGTCATTAGATTGACAAAGGTGCTTTCAGGTACGAGCTTCATCCGTTTCACACTTGCAATTCAATGGCGAATCATCTTTTCCTATTAAAATGAATGTAAATGCAATGAATCGGTTCCAGCCTACCCCAGAAAATGACAACAAATTTTCGAATGTGTCTCCTAATAAGACTTTTTGGGCTTCAATTCAATGGACACTGTGCTTCTCCTTCTGGTGTGCACGCCTTGGCCATCGAGCACCGTGTAAGACAGACAAACGCGCATGAAGAAGAAGTTTCACAGCTGACTCCGTAACATTCATTAATAGTCGTCAATTCCCCCAGAAGATAAAGAATATATGCCTGTGAGTGTTGCAATATTGTCTGTCAACATGCAAATATCTGTTGCTTCAAAGGCTGCAACAACGCCACACAGATGGCATCCGTTAGCTCGTCTCTGGTGTTTGGTGTGGTTTGTCGGCATCGCTTCACAAACACACTGTGACGTTCCAACAATGCACAATGAATTCACCCAATAACAGCTGCCAGAAGCGGTTGCGTCGTTTGAACCGACAGCGGAAGTGGGTCCCGTGTTGAGACGTTGAACTTTTGCCAAACGGAAATAAAGCGCTAAACAGTCAGATTAGGCAAGATAGGCTACACGCTATCTGTTGTTGTTTTGATTTTTATTTGGCAGACAAATGAGAAGCACTGGCTGGTGATAGTGCTCAATGACAATGTGACATCCCACTTTATGTTTAGATTTTATATACACAACTGTGACGTGAATTATCTCTCACTGGATGCCTTCTACAAAATGAATTTATAGAGCGAGTTGGCCAAAGGTGTGTGACGCATTTGTAGCGTTCGCGTTTTGACGCCGTGGTGCGAGCAAAATAGTTTTGTAGACCAGTGAACATCAACATTTGATTTGGCGGAGACAAAAGTTCCCGTTCCCAAAATAACTTTCCCACGCAGCTGAAACGCAGTCGTTCAGAGTTCAGCAAAAAATGCTCTGGAAAAATATGCCTTAAAAAGTCAAATACAAGTCAAATCAAGGATGCTGATAGAAAAGTATCAACTGATGTCAGCGCTGTCAACAGCTCGTATATTAGCTTGCTTTTTTTGTGCGTGTAGATGTCATGACAGCAGTCGGACGATAACATGAAAGTGAAGGTAAAAAAAATAATGTCATAATTTTAAAAAAAATGTAACGTTACAGAAATAGTTGTCAATTATGTGAAAAGTGATTTAAAAAATGGTAAGTTAAACTAATTTTATTGGGGGAAACAAAAGTTGCAATGTTACAAAACATGCAGAGAAGAAGAAAACAAAAAAGTTGTAAGCAAAGAAATTTTACTACACTGTAGCTATACGCGAAAAAAAAATTAGATAATGAAGTCAAAATATAAAATCAATCATTACAACCAAATCTATCAAAGTAAAGTTACAATATAACCGTAAAAAAATAATGTTACAAAGATTAAGTTGCAATAATACAAAAGAGCTGGAAATTTACAGGACTCATATTACAGAAAACAATAATATTGCAGAAAAATACATATAACATTGAAAAAAATCCATTCCTGTTATCAGAATAATGTTTAAAATTACAATGTTGTAATCTTGCAAGAATAATAAGATAAAATAAGATAACGTTTATTAGTCTCGCAATGGAGAAATTCCCAATTCACAGCAGCAAAGTTATGAAAGGAAGAAGTAAAAGAACAAACTATAGAAGCTACCCCATTTTAAAGTTCATATTACAGAAACTAATATGGAAATAAAGTCACAATGTAACAAATATATATTTCACGTGCATGAAGTTGAAAAAGTTGTTAATGTTACAGGGTTTACGGCATCACAGTGAAGCAACAAAAATCTTCGTAAAGGCATATTTCAGAAAAATATGTTGTGAAAATAATGATGTAATGGTAATAATAACGATATTCATATTTATAATAAAGATGTGATATTCCAAAAACATTTGTAATGTTATGAAAAAGATACAGTATTAAATAAAACAACTTACAAGAATAATGTCATAATGTTACAAAAATCTAGCTAGCTAGCCAGCTAGCTAGCTAGCTACATTTTTGTAACAGTATGACAGCTAGCTAGCTAGTATCTACCATCTGTGTGTACGTGTGTATGTATGTGTATGTATGCGTTTGTGTGCGCGTGTGTGTGTGTGTGTGTGTGTGTGTGTGTGTGTGTGTTTGTGCGCAATGTGTATGTAATATATATATATATAAAGAGAGAGAGAGAGAGAGAGAGAACATATGGGCGTAATATGAGAACAATAAAACGGCCATGTAATGTTAGAATAAAGTGTCAAGTTATGCTTATTTATTTTTGGAAGGGGCTAACATTACGGGGAAAACGTTATGTAACAAGAATAATGAGATATTATTGCACCACAGCATCGATGAGGGTTCACAGACCTTTTAAATATTGTTCTGTTTGCGTGTAGGGCGTGGTGGGGCAGGGGGGAGGCTCGCAGTCGTCCGAGTCGTCCCTGTGCTGCGCGCTGGCCAGGAAGTCGGACACAAACTCAAAGTATTGCTCGGTGGGCCACCGCTCCTCACGGTAGTGGCACTCAAAGTCGTACATGACCACTTCCTGCGAAGAACAATCCGGTTAGCAAACTCAATACTGATAGGATTGATTGTAGTATATGTACATCTTTATACCGTAACCCATGGCCTCGATCAGTTGACCGTGCCTCCCTCAATAAAATATATCCCAAATAATTTTAATTTCATTTCATTGATAAGAATCTCCAATATTTTTGGCAGTCGCCATTGCTATTCTTCCCGTAGTCCACTCCCACCGTTATTATCCTGACACTGCAATACACGAGTTAAATACATATTTACAATTGTTTATCATCCATATACTGTGTAGCTAACTGCTTTTAATTCATTATTTACAATAAATCAATTGACCAATTATTTAATGAGAGATGAAGAAAATACAAACCCCAATTTCATTGAGGTTGGGATGTTGTGTAATATGTTAAATAAAAACACAAATACAAGATAATTAATGTTCATACTGAGAAACGTTTTAAAAATATATATGTTTATTCATCTTGAATTTTACGCCAGCAACATGCCCCCCATCCCACCAGCCCTCCCAAAAAAACCAAAAATCATAACTGGTATGTGTTACACGACTGAATCAGTGTTTGGAAATTGGACGCTAATTGTTGAAGTACTGTAGGTGTCATTTCCATTCTTGATTGACATACAACTTCAGTTGCTCACTCGTCAGGCATCTATTTTGCACTCAATAATCCACCACAAATTTTCAACGGGAGACAGGTTTGGACTGCAGGCAAGCCAGTCTAGTAGCCGCACTCTTTTACTATTAACCCAAGCTATTGTAACACGTGTAGAATGTGTTTTGGGATTGTCTTGTTGAAATAAGAAGGGGCATCCTTGATAAATATATTGCTTAGATGGCAGCATATGTTGCTCCAAAACCTGTATGCCCCTTTTCAGCATTCGTAGCGCCTTCACAGATGTGCAAGTTGCCAATGCCTGTGCCACTAACACAGCCCCATACCATCACAGATGCTGGCTTTTGAACTTTACGTCCACAACAGTCCAGATGGTTCTTTTCCTCTTTGGCACAGAGGACACATCGTGGAGTATTTTCATAATTTGAAATGTGGACTCGTCAGACCACAGCACACACATTTTAACATTTTATTTTCGGCTTGACGTGAGTCCACCTCAGATGAGTTCTGGCCCCGAGTAGTCGGCAGCATTTCTGGATGTTACTGACATATGGCTTTCGCTTTGCATGGTTTTGAAGAATTTTAAATCGCATTTGTAGATGTAGCGACAAACTGAACTGTGTGAACAGAAGACGGCTTTCTGAACAGAACTGAGCGCACATAGCAATCTGCTTTCAACAATGACGCTGGTGTTAATGCAGTGCCGCCCGAGGTCTTGCCTGTCACGGTCATTCAGTGTTGTTGTTCAGCCTTGCTGCTTCTGTGTGAAGATTTATCCGAATTCTGTAAATCTTTTGACGATATTATAGACCGTAGATGATGAAATCCATGAATTCCTTGAAATTGAATGCTGAGAAATGTTGTTCTTTAACTGAGACGTCAAATGACTTGTCTTCGTAGTGTGTTCAATTGATTACGATATAGGCCGAATAGGATTTACGAAGAATTGTTTTATGTATTTATTTGTTTATTTTCACAGCGGTCCAACTTCATCAGAATTGGGGATTTGCAAAAATAAATAATGGAAAAAAACCCCCAAAACAACAATTTGAATGAACAAGTCTTACCACAGAGCCCATGTTGAGCCGTAGCTCTTGGAGCATTTGTATAAATATGCTAATGTCTTTTCTGTTGGATGAAATGTTGCCAAACTTGTGCGCTAAGTCTTGTAAACTCTCCTCCAGGTAGAAAACGTTGAGCTTTACCCAGCACATCCCACCCTGAAAAAAAAAATACATGCAGAAACATGCTAACAGTGACAAATAAAACTTCAATGGATGAATGGATAATTTTTTTTTTCCTATAACTTTTCATTTCTCTTCTGAGCGTTTTTCAAGGTAACATCATGACTTTGCTTGCTCGTAACATCGCAGATTAACATTACAACTTCATTCTTGGAACATTACAATTTTGCGCAGCATTTTGGGGTAAGCTGCGACTTTATCTTCTTAACATGAAAACTTATCAATGCAATCTTGGATTTTTTTTCCTCATGACCTTGCAACTTTTGTTTCATAAGTGTAAAAGTACAACCTTCTCGAATTTGTTCTTGTAACATGACCGTTCATTTTCATATTTCAACCGTTTTCAAAAATGACCATTCTTGGGAATATTATGACTTAACTCTAAAAAATATAATGTTGTCATTGTAAATTTTAATTGCGTTCTTTTCTGTTTTATAAAATTAGGCCTCGAACTTTTTTGTGGAAAATTCATGTAGCCTTCCAACTTTTTTTTTTTTTCATATCCTTTGCATATGATGTTATTTTTTTTCGATACTCTTGCGGTGATGTTCACATCACACACACGTATGACATTCGACACAAAGTTGCTCGCCAATGTTCCAAGATCACCAAGCGGTTTCACCAAGGGAAACGGAAAAACAAACAAACAACCAAAACAAACTCTTACCTCTTCTTTCGGAACGTAATGTACAGGAATTTTGTAGTCTTTGGGAATATTATGTTTCTGTGGAAGAGACAACAAGACACAAGCAATGTGAACGTTTAAATCCAAAAAGGGGAGCAGACATGAATGCCGAAGCAGATTACAAGGCTGTCAAGTAGGTTTCTTTGAGGCAACCATTGTCAGGACCTATGTGCACCTAATTACTATACTAATTGCGTCAAGGCTCGGTGACTTCTTAAAGGAACGGCGCGCAATAAGAGCCAGATGTTCTTTGTCAGCCATGTGTCCTCAAAGAGAGAGTCTCAAGCCATTGTTCGTTCTCGCTGGCTCGCGGACAGCAGCTAATCTTCATGTTTTATTCGGCTTAAAAAGATGTCATGTTTTTTTTTTTTTTTTTTAATGCAGTGTATCGTGTTCTGAATCCCGATTGGCTAAGAGACCGTTGACTAATGTCAACAGTCTCATCGCTGTACAGCTTGCCAAATTTTCTCCATGACACAACCCACAATGTCGACAAAACATTCTGTTCAGTTATTTCTCAAAAAAAATGTCAGTTGTTTGTGAGAAAATGTTTTTGTTTTTGTTTTCAGGCTTGGGCCTGAAAACAGGTGTCATCTCTGGTTTCATTCAATGCAGTATTGTATGTGGAATAATGGTCAAAAGGAAAGACGACCACTTTACAGATTTTGCTTATTGCATTTTGAGTTTTTTTTTGGAACGTAACCCCGGCGATAAATGAGGGATTACTGTATTACAAATGTTGGGGGGGGGGGGTGAGTCAGAATAACTAATATTTGAAAAATGTTATAAGAATAAAGACCAAAAGTTCCCCCCCTGCCACCCCCAAAAAAGTTGTTTCTCCAACCATAGAATTGTAATTTTACACACACACACACACACACACACACACACGCACACACAAAAATATATATATATATATATATTGTATGAGATAAAAGTCAAAACCCGGTCAAAGTTGTAATGGAGTTTTAAAATCATTAAAAGATGTTGAAATATCTGTTTTTGTAAAAAGCAATTATTAGCGTTAATTTTACAGGAATATTTTTTTTTTTGTGCATTATGGGAAACAAAAAGCTAATTGCTCGAGGACAAAGTCTAAACGTTTTCATGCAGGAATCAAAACAAGACATAATATTTATTAATGACAATTTTTTTAAATATTAATTTGGAATAGTCGTAGAACTTTGAAAAAGGTCCATGACAAAAAAGGCCTTTACATCAAGTGACCACATTAAAAGTGTAACGTAGGGAAAAATTGGTGACAAGAGTAACATCGTTGTGCTGTGAATGTTTGGAATGCAAAATGTGACGGGTTTAGCGACAACCTGTACTCCAAATGTTTAAAAGTGTGCTTGTAAAGAAAAGTAGGAGACCGTTGTTTTTCGCTTTGGATGAAAGTAACACTTGTTCTTACCAAAATCGAGAGTCTCGACACGTCATCTGTCACAGGGTTGACGTCAAATTTACTTGAATGCACCCCGAGCGTGATCAGCAGCAGAAAATGGACACAGACGCGTATCCGAATCTGACAGAGACACAAACCAACAGCAGCCGTGTCAGTATTTCAACTTGTCAGTCACATGAGCTGGGAGTCCATTGCGTTCCAATTTTCCAATTATGCGAGAGAAGGAGAGAAGGACGCTGTTCTAAGAATAGAAACAATCCAGGAAAATATGCATCAGGCCTCACTGAGATGGTTAACACACACCCACACACACGTATAAAGTAATTGTACAACAGTAAAGTCATAAGATTCTGAAAAATAAGTTAGGATGTTCCAAGAATAATATTTTCGGGAAACGTTATTTCAATGACACAAGGAAAAAAAACCAATATAGTCGAACCTCGTTTTAACGTACCCCGTTTATGTTTCCACCCCAATAACGTTCCCATTTCAAAGTCCCGATTTCACGTATAATTCATTTTCCATTTGGCCATTTTGCTTACAAGCAACACCTTGAGAACGTAAACTTTATTAGAACGATATAATAGTGGAAAGGCTTCCGTGGGAAGCTAATTGCCGCCGCGTCCTTGCTTATGAACAAAATGTACGATTTCCCGTCGTTGCTTAGCAACGCTACAGATCGACTCGTACATTGTTGTACTTCCGGAGGCACGGTGCACATGATCTTAAAACAACTCGCTGTCTTCAAGCAAATCTCGCTGTCTGTGAAAGCTCAAATTGTCTCTCAATTACGAAAGGGAGTCTCCCAGATGACGTTCAGCTGACACTACGATTTGGCAAAGTGAACGATTTCGACAATTGTGCGTAATGACGACAAAATCAGGGCAGAGCTCGAGGCCAACCGATTGAAACAGCTTTGGGGTGTGGGACATCCTGACCTGGAGAAGGCACTTTTCATCTGCTGACGGAATATTTTCACACATGAAATAGGAACGTTACATTTGTCTGTTTCCTAGCTAATAAAGTCTTTTTTTTCTTCATATTGTACATGCGTATTTGTAATTGACATGTTCATACTGGATGACATGTTCATCTTTGTACATGTTCATCTTTGTTTCACTGTTGGCAGCCATTTTATTGGAAATGCTTACAACGAGCTCCCATTATAACATACAGATCCGCTATGTCCCACGAGGTACGTTGTATCGAGGTTCGACTGTCTGAAAAGCGTCATGATGTCACAGTATGAGGATAATCAAAATACCATATATCAAAATCCAAAACAAATTGCTCGACAGTTTCCGACCACACGTTTGCATAATCCAGACAGGCCATTTATCAGGCTCACATCTTGTTTTGGCGCCACGACGGCGCATTGTTGTGCACCCGAGTGATACTCTTCTCAGACAACAATTAATAATTAGATCATGCATAAAGTGCAATCCATTCCGCTCAGACATTTCAAAACCGCAATCCGATGTCAACAAACATGTCACAAGACATCCGTAACTTTAAGCAAGACAAATTAAATTTTTTTTTTTTTTTTAAACACTAGTACTTCCTTTAAAACTACTGAGAATGCCACATCCTACACACAGAACCCTGGTCAGCGAAATAGTGCCTGTGTGTGTGTGTGTGTGTGTGTGTGTGTGTGTGTGTGTGTGTGTGTGTGTGTGTGTGTGTGTGTGTTACAAACTATGACCTGTAAAATTCATACACGAACAATTGCTTTTAAAACAAGCGTGCAGGAGAAGTGATGTTGGACATTTCACTTTACACCTCCGGGATTGTGGAATTGCCCTTCATACAGGCATCGTCCTGCCTCTAGAAATTGTTCCGGTTGACTTTCATCCCCAATTCCATTTAAGAGGTAGAAGATCTGGGATTTATATGTCCGAGCTTTTCACGCAGAACTGATCAGGCATATGAATCACTTTTTTCTCTATGTAATAAAAATGGAATCCCAAAAGTATCCACTAGGGGCGAAAACGCTGTAAACGGGGTACGTTGAAACGAGTTTCAACTGTACTTGATTTTTTTTTTTTTTTTTTTAAATAAAATGCAATCGCTCAATGATCCACTCGAGGCTACACTGTTTTTTGCAGAATTGAGGGGTTGAAGAAGTGGCAGTGAACAGCAGATCAAAACGGATGATGGCGGTGCGCCTTCTCGCAATGACGTGGTCTGCATTTAATTAGCCAAAACGTCTGTCAAAAAAGTGGATACTGACTGAGAGTTTTCCACGAAAAATGGAGCGCTTGCTACTTATTCACAGAGGGGAATGGAGCAATGTGATCAAAAGAAGCAATATAATATGCGGAGCCACTTTGAGACTCATCATGATAAAAAAATAGGACGGCTTGAGAAGATAAATGAATCGCTGGTACTTGTGACAAAACAGCGGTTCGATTTTACCCACAGCTGAGTGCTTAGTGACAGTAAAAGTCAGCCACCTGATTGCTCATGAAAGAGCATCAGCATCAAAGCCGGATTCCGATGGTGCCTGTGCTAAAAAAAAAAAAAATGCATGCCGAAAGCTGCGGAACTTGACGGGTGACATGTGTTTCCTATCGTTTGATGAGGAATGCTATGGCAGAGAGGATTTGGGAACTGGCGGCAAATTTGGCTAGCCAGTCGAACACAAAGGCAAGTTGTTGACTTGCATTTTCTGTTGCAGTTGATGAGAGCACAGATGTGACAGACGTTGCTCAACTGGCCTCATTTGTGTAATTAAAAGGGGCACTGACCGTCATTGAGGAGTTTTTGGCGTTGAGAAAAGAAGAGAGGAGGCAAAGAAAGAAGGGAGGGAAGGAAAGAGAGTGGAGGGGATCAAAAGATAGAAAAAAAGGACGGTTGAGGGGAAGACGGAAGGAACAGTTTGCGTCAATATGACCCAACGGGGGGGATTTATTTTTAGCCTTTTTATTTGATTTCATTCACTTGGTATTTGTACAAACATTGTTGAACAGCTGTAAACGATCATCAGAAACACGCTAACAAACGCAATGAAAATGTTTCTAGACAATAAAATATACTTTGTTACGATGCACAAAGTGAACTTACGGTAGGAAAATATTAAACTGTTGAGCCTGTAAAAAATGGAAACCAATTGTTTGGTTGTCATGAAGTGAAATGTAGTGAGTCAAAACATAGTTCATCCAAATGCACGATTATTCTTGAGAATTTTCAGTCGGGTACTCGAATGTTTGACAACTGCAGCCCATCATTCACCCTTAGCATGATTTTGTCATACACAAAATGTTGCCAATCATACTGAGCTCCGAGTATGAAATTGATCATGTAATCATTCGTTTCATGAAGTATAAGTACAATAAAAAGTTGTAGAAGGAAAATAAGAGTACTTGGAGATTTCATTTCTTTTTTTTTTTTTAACGGTAGTTTCTCTCACTGGACGCTGGCTGAAACCCGTGTAACCTAGAAGAAAGAAATTTGATGTGAAGTCAGATCATGGCGCTCTGCTACACCGTAAACGTGAATAAATGCAGAAAGGTGCCTCCTGAGATAACCGCAGCGATCAAACTTAAATGTCACCAAGTCCAGACGGCAACCGCCGCTCATTCTGAACCTCTTCGCCTCCATCGAAGGTTTGAGAGGAGCAGAGCCAAGCGAGATGCTAATGCTAGCTAATGCTAGCTAATACTCATGCGGCAGTGACGCTCGTTCCCATATAAGGCAAAGCCAAAGCATGTGGGTTGAAAATTAGCCACAGCTTACTCAATACTCAAACGCTTTTTAAGAGGCCGATTTGTTTATTTATTTTTTTAATCAATGCCAAAAGTTGTGCTTTCAACACGTCCTTTTTGTCTGTTTTGTTTTGATGATGCTGAGGAACAGAATGCAGCAACACTCGACAGGGTGTGGGATGTGATCTAGCCATTCAAGTGGATTGGGAGGCCCAATACATTGAATTAACAAAGCCATAAGGATGATCATCCGTCATTTTGGTGTTTCTGTTACCAATAGCTGAATGAGTCCCATATTTGTCAGTAAAGAAGCACACGCTTACCAGAACGACAAAATACATTTTCACGAATATCAACCGATAATTGTCGGCCGCCGATTGATCGGAGCATCTCTAATTGTTAACTTCTTTCAGCCTGGTTATGAAGCAGGGACCATTGAGGATGATAATACAACAATTGTCATTATATTGGTCAGTTCACAATGCTAGCAAAGTGATGGCTTGATAGCTTGTGTCTGTAGGATTTTCTTTTTTCTCCCTTGGGAGCAGTATGCAAGTGAATCCATCAAATCAATCAAGCCATTATTTCTACAGCACTTTTCACACTTAAAAAGCAATGGAAGGAGCTCACAAAACAGACAACCGCAGTCACTGATCCCCCCCCCCCCCCCCCCCACCCCCCCCAAAAAAAAGGTTTTTTTTTTTGACACCACCCCGGACACTGCCCCCCCCCCCCCCCTCGCCACTCTGCGCAAAAAAAAGGTTTTCTTTGTTGTGCCAAGTTCATAAAATGGGCACTTTTTTTTTTATACATGTTCCTCCACTTCTGCTTAAGAACTTTTTGTGACCCCTGCTGTCCACACAGGAGCCAATAATCCCACCCAGACCCTGAGAACCGCGAAACAAAACGGCTAACCGCTCGTACGCCCCGATGCCTTTTGCATTGATTTCTGTATTTCGACTTTAGAATAACTTCAGCGAGAATACATAATTACAACATTCCCTCAACAAGCGTCCAAGCAGCCACTCAGCAGGCTTCTTTCACATCAATTCAAGTCGACACTAAAGAGCCAGCGGCTGTTTGGTCTCGTTCCATTTGGAAAGCATTTCCCGACCACCGGCGGTGGCGCCTCCCCGAGGCCTCTTAGCATCACGTTGGTTGCGACATGAAGCGAAAGCTATCGGAGACAGTGAGTAACCGAGGGCTCTGGCCTTTGTTCCGCAAACATCGCTCAGTCATAGCGAAGATCAGTGTCTCGTCCAAGGACAGCACGGCATTGACGTTTACAAACACACGTGTGAGCTTGATTAAAGCAATATTGTTGCATTGTCGTCTTCTTTACAAAGACTCACAAATTGATGTCAGTGTTTATAAAAACCCATACGTGAGGATTGTGTTGGGTTTACCAACGATGAA